CGTGCCGGGGAGTATGAGGCGCTCCCCGAGAAGGTGAGCCTTGGTAGCACCTGGTTGGGTGGCAGAGGTTGGGCAGAGCTGAGCTGTACACCCCTGGCTTCAGGGAGAGTGCTGGGGGCTGGCATAGTCCCTTTGCACCGAGAGGAGCTGGTGACACGGTCATGGCAGGCTCCGGCTGGGGAGGGAGAGGCCATCCCTGGGCGGGTGCCTCGTGCTGCTCGGTGGTGCCAGCCCACACGCTCTCCTCCCCAGCTTGCCAAACCTGAGTGGGCTCCTGATTTTGGGCCCCCAACCTTTGTGCCCCGCTGGGGGGCCACGGTGACGGGCGCCCGGACCTTCCTTATCGCCTACAACATCAACCTGCTGTGCACCAAGGAGCTGGCTCACCGCATCGCCCTCAACATCCGCGAGCAGGGCCGCGGCCCCGACCAGGTACCCCCGTGCCAGTGGCACGCCAGGAGCAGCCCCCCGTAGCCCCTCCGCCTCCTGGGCCGTGCCCTGAACGTGGCAGTTGTTGGCAGCCCGGGCGCTTGAAGAAGGTGCAGGGTATCGGCTGGTATTTGGAGGAGGAGAATATAGCCCAGGTCTCCACGAACCTGCTGGACTTCGAGACCACGCCGCTCCACGCCGTCTACGAGGAGGTCTGCCGGGACGCGGAGGTGGGTGGCGTGGGGCGCCTGTTCCGGTGGGGGCTTCACAGGGGATGTCTCCCTCCAGGTTCTTCTGCCTGTCCCTGGATCTGGCTCTGCTTTATCTCATGCTGAATGGCACAAAAACGCCAAAAGCTCAGCAATTTGCTGCTAGCCCCCAGCTCTTCCGTTGAAGGCTCTTCCATGAGCTTCCTGTATCCTGGGAACCGGGATGAGGGCCACCAGGCTGGGGTGGTAGTGGCACCGGGGCTCTGGGGGTGGTCACATTTCTTATGTTCTCTGCAGGCATTGAATCTTCCTGTGGTGGGGTCCCAGCTGGTGGGACTCATTCCCAAGAAGGCCATGCTGGATGCAGCCGAGTTTTACATCAAGAAGGAAAAACTCTTCATCCTGGAAGAAGAACAGAAGATCAGACTGGTAACGTGACTCCTCTTGGTACCAACACAAGGGTGGAATCATGAGAGAGACAATTCCACTCCCCCAGCCTCCCAAAGTGGCACTGAGCAGAGATTTGGGACCATTCAGGCTCCAGGCTTGACTCTTGTCTTCAGGGAGGGTTTTGTGGGGGGGTCAGTGAGTGGGACAAGTTGCTTTCCTGTTCTGAGGATGCTGAAATGCTCAGGGAGCAGGGACCCCAACCCGCGAGGACAGAGTGTGGGGAGCAGCTGCCCATCTTGCCTGCCTGTAGACTAGGAGGGGAAGGAGGCGTCCCCAGAGCTCAAGGACAGTGTGTGGCATTATGGGAAGCTGTCCCAGGACAGTCGTAAGCAGGAAATGAGGGGACGGGGCTCTGCTGTTCCACTGCAGGAGGGAGGGACTTTTCCAGCCTGTGGGGAACGTGCTAGATAAGAGCAAGCTAATGATTAACCAGTACAGTTTCCAGTCATGTAGGTGACCCCATGCCTCCCCCATGTCTGGGATGGGACACAGGGCGGTGGTGCCAGCTGTCCTCTCCCTGGGTGGTGGCCAAAATAACTGTGTCCTACTGCTGACTCACCCGTGGTTAATTAGCAGTAGGGAAGGAGGCTGTGGCAGGGTTTGTCACGCCGGGGCTGACGCAGCGGTGCCGCTCCTTGCAGGTGGTCAGTCGGCTGGGCCTGGACTCCCTGTCTCCGTTTCACCCCCGGGAGCGCATCATCGAGTAGGGACCCCCGCCTTGCTTCATATCATGGTGCCCATCCCTGCCTGGATAGGGGGATTCTGCTGCCTGTGTCTCTCATTCATCTTGTGTTGGGAGCATTGGTCACACCCAGGGGTTGCAATTGTGCAGACCTGGCCTGGTCCCTGCTCCCAAACGCTGCTGGTTGTGAATGTGGAGTGGGGGAACTCCAGGTCACTTGAGCAGGCAGTGGGAGCAGGTTTTGGTGGCCAAATTTGAATGTTAAATTCCCTCCCCCATTCCCATGCCAGCTTTCACTGGTGCTGGCTCACCTGCTGCCCTCCGAGGAGAGAGGCTGTGCTGCAGCAGCCTGCGTGAAACACACGTCTGAGGGGGACAAAGGAAGGGAAATCCACCCACGAGGTGAAGTCCTTGTTGTCCCCCCTAGGACATGGCTGCAGGTGTTTCTGTCCCACAGAACTCCATTCGCGCGAGCCCACCCTGCCTGATCCAGAGCAGCCTCCCACACCACCAGGACATGTGCTCCCCAGCTGTCCCCATGGGGGGGTGTCCCAGCCCTCTCTCCCTGACCCTCACGCTGGGTTTTTTTTTGGGTTAGCCCCCTCCTCGTTCGTGGGGTCAGTGACGACCTGTCGGAGAGGAGGGTCTGGGTAGGGTGGTGTCCCTGCACCCGGGGACTCCAAACCCCGGGGCTGCTGTGCCGCAGGTACCTGGTGGAGGCAGGAGAGGCGGACGGGGGGCTGGTGGCCAAGCCGCTGGGCGCCTTCGTGCGGGCAGTCGGCGGGAGGTCGGCAGCGCCGGGAGGAGGCTCCGTGTCCGCAGCTGCCGGTGCCCTGGTACGTCCCTCACACCGAGGGGGAGCCCTGGGGGCCCACTTGGTGTGAGGGGAGGGCATGGTGGTGGCAGTGGGCACTGTGCCCTGCTGGAGGATTCCCCCCCACCCCGTGCCCTCGCAGGGAGCGGCACTGGGCAGCATGGTGGGGCTGATGAGCTACGGCAAGCGGCAGTTCGAGGACCTGGACCCCATCATGAGGAAGCTGATCCCCCCCTTCCACCAGGCCATGGAGGAGCTGGTGGCAATGGTGGATGCTGACTCCCGTGCCTTCAGCAGCTACATGGTGAGATCCCACCGGAGGCAGACATCCTGCAGGGAAGTGCCTGTTTGGGGGGTGCATTCCAGCTGGGCTAGGATCACTCTGGCGTCCTTAGCAGCAGGGCTGTGACCTTGCAATCATAAAATCGTTAAGGTTGGAAAAGACCTCCAAGGTCATCAAGTCCAACCTTCTACGGAGTAACACCCGTGGCCACTAAACTGTGTGGCAAAGTGCCACGTCTACTCAGTTTTTGAGCCTTTCCAGGGATGCTAAAGCCAGGCCCAGGGGAATGGGCATCATCACCTAGGGGAGGTTTGCAAGAGCATGGGAGCTCTGGGGTATGCCCGAGCTGCTGATGCCAGGCATGGTCTTGGTGCCAGCAGCAAACCCCCTTTTCTTGGCCTGCAGGAAGCCATGAAGCTGCCAAAGAGCACCCCTGAAGAGCGGGAGAGGTGAGCTGGGCCGGTGGGCACTGTCAGACTGGGGGAGCACGGGCAGCCAGCACTGACCCAGGGCTGTTCCCCCTCCCAGACGTGTGGCTGCCATGCAGCAGGGGCTGAAGACGGCCGTGAGGGTGCCCTATGCCTTGGCAGAGAAGGTGAGTGGGCTCTGGCCTGCTCTGAAGGAACTGGCACGGCACTGCAACCTGGCCTGCAAATCTGACATCCAGGTATGGCCCCAGGCTCCCCCTCTGCCCTGCAAGGTGTCCTCATGTCCTGACCTGCAGAGGGGGCATCTCTAGTGGTTTCCACCCACTCTTTGTCAGCTTGCAAAAAAAAAAAGCTCCTTGTAGGAGAGTTGACCTCCACCAGCCCTTGCTGGGGTTTCCTGCTGTGTGTGGCAGTGCTTCCCACTGCTTGAGCCACTTCCCGAGAACGCCAACAGGAGGAGTCCTGCAGTGCAAGGGATCTGCCCTTCTGCAGTCCTGTGTGGTGGTGCTGGCTCAGGGGGAGAGCTGCTCCCGAGCCGGTCTTTTCCCAGGTGGGAGCCAAAATGCTGGAAGCAGCTGTGTTTGGAGCTTACTTCAACGTCATGATCAACCTCAAGGACGTAACGGATGAGAAGTTCAAGCTTGTGGTAATGAGCAGGGGCTGTGTGTGTGTGTGTATCTCAGGGCCTGGTGGTGGCACAGAGACAAAGCCCCTCCTGGGACCCCTCCCTTTGCCACCAGCGTGATGCACGGGATGGATCGTGGGTGGCTCCTGTGTCCTGCTGAGCAGTAAACGCCACATCTTGTCCCCACACAGATGTCCCAGAAGGTCTCCGGGCTGCTGGAAGAGGCAAAGCAAGGCTCGGCACTCGTGCTGGCACTGCTGGAGAAGAGGGAGGCATGAGGAGGGATTGGGAAGTGGTCTGGGAGTTCTGCACTGGCAAATAGAGCTGAGAAACCCACTCGTCCCTGTGTCTGCTCTTTTGGGTTTGGCCTCTGGAGGGCTGGTCTGCTCAGGAAGATCCCAGTGTCACATTCCCTGCTGGCCTTTCCCTGGCCAAGGGGAATTTTTACTCTCTGGGGCTCAGGCTCCAGACTCCCTTCCCCAGATCCCTGGGGCAGAAGGAGATGACTGGGCTGGCAGTCCCTGGGATCACAGGGATCCTAGCAAAGGGGACAGCTGGGCCCCATTGGCAGTGCCCAGGAGGGGATGACTGTGAATTGGCACCTCCTGACCCTGCACACTCTTGTATTTTACACTCAGAAAATCCACAAAACACCCTCTTACCCTAAACCTGGGGCAAGGCCTGGCCCAGTCCCTTTCTGCAAGGTGTCTTTTTGGTGGTGTGTGATAACCCCAGCCTGTTGCACTGTTTGGGAAGGGAGCACTGCCAAGCACGAGGCACTGTCAGGGTTGTTAGCAGGGAGATGGGAATGGGATGGTTTGGGGAAAACTCTGCTCCCTCCCCATACAACCCCTAAGAGGAATATCTGAAGATTAGGGCAGCCAACCCTGCCTCCTGTCCCTGCTGACAGGGTGTGATGGCAGATGTCATCTCCTCCACCTCACACTGCAGCAGCACCCTGAGCAGTGTCCAAGGGAGTCACGATCCCTACCCTGAACCCCTCTGTCCCACAGCACATCTGTGGGAGGGTCCCCCCCGTCCCTGGACGCTGAGCGTGGGTTCACGGTGGGGCCGCCTGACTCACTCCAATCAGCTGTAATCACCACCCTCCATCGTCTGTTTTTATTAGCCCTGTGGGACCTTTTTTTATATGTTTTGTTATATGTGGGACCCTTGTGCTGGCTGGGAGTGGCATGTTGACTTTTTTTATGTACCCATCTTGATGGCTGTGGCCAAGGTGGTGGCGGTTTCACTGCTTGGCGCTGTCACCTCTGCCCACCCCACCCCACCCCTCCTCACCTGGGCAGGGTCCTGGTATTTAACAGGTGCCCGACACCGCGGGAGAGCCGCGCCAAGGACGGTGATCGGGAGTGCTGCCAGCGCCGCCAGGAGCTTTTGGGCAGGTTTGGTGAGTGCAGGGCAGCGGGACTGGGGGCATCCGTGGGTCAGGGCCCTCTGTCCCCATGGGTGGTGTTGCACCAGACACGTGTCCCCAATCCTTGTGGTCCCTGAGGTCGGTGCTGTCCCCCAAAGGGACAGGGGGGCTGTCGGGGTGTGCAGGGGGATGGGATGGCAGTCCTGGGGAAGCGAGTGCGGTCTCTGCTCCCAGGGCAGATGTTGTGGGACAGAGGAGTCAGGTCCCAGCTCGGGGTCAGGCAATGACGTCCCTGTGGCAGGAGGTGACTGATGGTGCTTGTCCTTCCCTTGCAGCTCGGAGACCCCTGAGGATGTGTGACCCCAACCAAGGTGAGGGACCGTGGGGCCAGACAGGGCTGTGGGTACCACACAGCCATCAGGGCTCAGAGAGGAGCTCAGAGAGGAGCTCAGGGCCATGGCCACAGGCACCTGGGGGGGGGATTCCCTGCATACCAGAGGGGCATGGGATGTCATCTGTGAGGGAGAGGCAGACAGGGAGGGGTCCTTTGGGTGCATGGGTGCACCAGCTCCCTGCACTGTCTGTCTGGGGAGAGCCTCTCTCTGCCTGCTAACAGTGCTTTTCTTCTTCCTAGGCATGCCACGACCACACCTTGCAGTGTGCCCTCCTGCCCCTCCGGGATATCCTGGTCCCGGCACAGCTCCCTACCCTGGTGGCATTGCT